CTCTGAAATTATTTGAAGCTACTCACATGGCATAATAGATAATATCAGTTCTTGTATTAAATAGATTTCCTCTCTCATTTTCTTTCAGTTTTCTTATGTCTCTTTTTTTAGTGAATGTGAGTCAAGCCATATACTTCTTAATTTCATTCAAAATTTATTAAGATTGCTGAGCTATTTTCTCAAACATAACTACAATGCAAATTCATTTCCGAATATCCTAAGAGAAGAATAAACCATATTGGCCAGCAGGTTTGGTGTTGCAAATTAGCAGTACTCTCTCTCCTTTAACACCCTTAAGTAAGTAAAGATTGTTTTCTTTAGTTTTATTTTTGCTTTTGAAGAGGGTTTCTGTAAGTAGCCCTTGAACTCCCTGTAGCTATAGCCTAGGCGGGCCTAAATTAGTCATTCCCCTGCCTCAGCCTTCTGAGGGCTGGGATTATAAACATATGCCGCTATACCTAGTTTAAGCTAAATTTTAAATAAAATGTAAGCACAAAGATATCTTTTATGTCTACTCAAAAGGCAATCTTTATAATAATTTGTAGTCTCAGAAAGCATATTCCTTTTCATTTGAAGCACATGCTATGATTTTTGTTGTATTAGAGTGTTGCTTAAAGTGCCATAGTTTGATGTGTACCTGCATTTATTACTTTAACTCTATTCACAGTTATAAAGAAAATCTTAAAGTACACTGTCATTCTTTTAAATTCTGTGCCCAAGATTACAAACAGGTGAGACTGTGGATGGCTTTTCTAAACCCATTACCACTGCTAAAAATAATTCAGTAATACCATTTTTATGTGAGTAAATATTGAGAATGAAAGCTAGGACACAGTCATTATTAATAACTGTGTCCACTAATTAGCCACTTGTTTGGAGTGGCGTACAAATAATTTAACCAAAGGGGTCTTTGTTCTCCTCTTTTATGATTAAAAATTGTATTAGACTACATGCTGTGGTGCTCAATAAATTTCATGAATGCATTTTTCTTTCTACAGATTTTCTTCTATATTTGCAACATTCTATACTTCTTTATATTCTTTATTTTATTATATATATATATTTTATATTCTTCTATTCTTGTAACATTCAGTGGTAAGAACTTAATAAAATTCACTGAAATGTTCACCACATCTCACCTATTTATAATCTTGATCATAGATTTTTAAAAAAAATGGTAGCTGAGTTTGAAGTTTAGTGGGGTTTTTGTGTGTGTGTGTGTGTGTGGAGGGGACTGGGATTTGAACTAAGCACTTCATGCTGAAGTTTACTTTTTGGTAGATATTCTATCACATAATCCAAGAAGGTTATAGTCTAAATATCTATTATGAGTAAGTTATGAATTTTACAGTAATTAATTTTATATTACTCCTAAAATATTTTTCTCGAACAATTAAATGCCACCTTTAAAAAGTTATGAGTAATTTAATAAAAAGTGTTAACTTATTTATTTCACCATTTCAACAAACAGCATAAGACAAGAAAATTCCACTATCCTGTTTGCCTGAGGAGGACAATGAAGTCCTATGATCACCTACACAAAATGAAAAAACATGAAATATGTTTAGGCAGATGTTCCTAAATATGTGGTTCCCAAAGACATGGCCCGCAATCTCTAATTCAGTGAAACAAGTGAGGCACACCTGCTAATACTGCTATATCACAATAACAAAGTCTGAAATTGGTACCTGGCTATGCCTGAAAATTTGTTACTGTGATCAAAGATGCAGGCAGGTACACAGAGACACCAAAGCAATGAAGAGTTAGTTCATTCATGGACTACTATTGCTGTGACATTAATTTGTGAAAGGGACTTGTATACTAAGGGATTTTAACTGGTTAGGCCACCCAAGAAAGGGCAGGTTATCAAAATCCAAGAAATTCTGCAATGTTACCAGTCCACTTCTGAGAGCTATCCAGCCAAAATGTACACAAATACCAGAGAGCCAAAGTGCCCAAACAGTGACACAGGTAGAAACCACAATAGCAACTCACAGGGTACTACCAGAAAGCTATTTTCACTGCCCAGAAGTTTTAAGCAAGGTGCCAAGGGCGGCGATGAAGACGTTATACAGGAATATCTTACATCCTCTTCTTAAGGAGGGCATCACTCTTGGGCTTATCTTGTCATTGCAGAGTAATAAAAACATACAATATACTTAGAAATACTTATATATTCAATACACATGATTTATATATTAGTATTTATAATTAAACATATTATATTATGTATATGGTAAATTATATATTTACACTAATATATAATATATATTCCTATACATTTATATATTATAGTAAGTATATTTCATATGAACATATTTATGCTATAAATTTATATAATTTATAATAAATTTATGCACATATGACTCTAGAATTAAGAACACAGTAACCATGGCATAGAATAAGCTTTTTCTAAGAGACTCTGCTACATTAGGAGAGAGTCAGGCAAATGTGACTACATAGGCTCTCCTGTGACATACCTGATTGACAGAGGGTCCACTTTCTTCTAAATGGTTATTTATATGACAGACCCTAGTATGTTTTGTCTTTCAACCCCCTCTAGTTTGCATATTTCCTACAGGGATTTAAATGAACAGGCTGCAAGAGTCTATTGTGCTTATTCTGTGTACGTGTCTTACAAAGATAAGAACTGTAAAAAGTGGTTAATATTTCAAAAGGCAGTAATAGTAAGTAATAACTTCCTGAGAAGTGCACAGATCAAGTAGTACTGGAGTATATTAAGAGTGAGTTTTGGCAAAAATGCCTTCATTTCCTATTTTTCAGATAAGGTATGCAGCGTAGTAAATCTAAGGAATGTAAAGAAATAGCATGGAGACACAGCATCAGAGCATTTGAGAAATATACAGAGAAATACAGATGGACTGACAGAGAAAGGGTTCATAACACCCTGGAGGTCATTTATTAAAGACCATTTCTATAAATGACTTCATAAATTAATCCAAGAAATCCAAACTTCCAGTAAGCATACATAACTTTGCCTTTTGTTTTTGGTGCTGGGGATTGAATCTAGGGCCCACACATAATAAGCACACGCTACCACTGAGCTACATCTTCAGCTAATATAGAAACCTTTTGCACTCTCTTCCATTTCTGAGAAGTGGAAAAGTTGTGAAGAAAAAACAAGACAAAACAAAAGTAAACATCTCTTGGAAAACACTGGAGAACTATTAAGGCTACAAGAACTTACAGTAAGGAACCAGAAGATAAGGGAAGCTCAGAGTTTTACATAAGCTCAATACTACTTTTACTTTTGAGGTATTGCCCAAGCAAGAAACTGAAGAGGCAGGAAAATATGGTGACTGAGAGTCTGAGATGTAGTCTCACTGAGCTAAGGGGAGAGATATGATCTCAAACGAGTAGAAGGAGGGCCCTGACAAAATATCCCAAGGGTTCAGTGGATTTTGAGAGCTTTGCCCTAAGAGAAAGGGTAAACTGGAAATAGACCCACTCTTGGAAAAGGATTGAAGCTTGGACTCTTTCATTCAGTTTCAATCCTGACTGGATTAAAGCTATCTGACCTGGCCCAACTGCCCTCAAGAAGAAAAGCTGAATGTTCTCTGAAGGATAATAAGATCACCCAAAGTTTTAAATCATCTTTATACCTTCCATACATGTTGTACGGCTCTTGATAAAAAGTAAATAAATAATAAATAAGTGTCGAGAGCTGACCCAAAACCAACAGAATAAAAACACAGACTAAACCAAAGAGTCCAACATATAGGAAATCTAGATATTGTATTAATCAAGACATGGAATTTAAAAAACACTACTATTATTTTGGTCAAAAATAATGTATCAGTGGTCAGAGTTTGGGCAAGCAATAGAAATAAAAAAATAATGAAGTAGAAAGTTTTAAACTGAAAAATGTAAGTGGAATTAATCTAACATCAATAATAAAAGTTAAAAAAAACCTCTAATTGTTTGAAAATTAAGCAATATACTCATGAAAAACCATAAAGAAAATATCTGGAACTGAATTATAATGAAAATACAAAATTCAAAACTTGTGGGATACATGCAAAAGCCATGTACATAAAGTAGGTTAGAGCCTTAAGTACAGATATTAGGAAGTAAGAAAGGGTTGAAACTATTTGGCACATCCACTAAAATGTGTATTTTTTGACAAAGAAATTCTACCCCATTATAAAAATGTGTACATAGGGGCACCAAAAGATATGTACAACAGACATATACAATTAAGGCACAATTTTCAATAAATGGAAACTGAAATAAACTCTAATGTGTATCAATGGTGGAAGAGAGAGAATTTTTGGAACAGACACCAAAGTAGAATACTATACAGCAGCAAAAGTGAATGTAATGAATCTTGAAAATGTTGAATGCAACATGGCAGCATTTTAGTTTTACAATATTCAAAGTATGTAAAAAAGTAATCTAGTGTTAATGGGGCTAGGATTGCTATTAAGGGGACCATGTGATGAGTAATGAAGAAAGGGGACACAGTGGAAGCCTCTCTGGTCATGGTAATAATTTATTTTATGACGTTGGTCTTGGTTACATGACTCAATTTGCTTGACAAGCTGCCTTTTAGATTCCCCAAATCAAGGATAAACAAGCTCTGGCTTTAACAGTGTTATGGGAAATCCGAAGTTTTGACTTCAAAAAGGAATGACATGGTTATGCAAGTTGTAAGCATCTTTAAATACTGTGTTATCTGATGAAAGAATAACTTGGCTTAATTCAAAAGGACAAAACTTGGTAGAATGAAGGAAAGTGAGTTATCAGGACTCAAGTTTTACTTCAGTAAACTACCTGCCAACAATAAAATCAAATAAAGGAATAGAGTCTGTGTATTCTGGACACTGAACTTGTTCAAACAAAGGAAGAAAGACCACCCAGCAGAGGTAAGTGAAGTTTCCTGCACACTGGAGTTGGGAGATACCACCAAATGCCCCTACCAGGGCTTTCGGTTTCTATGCATCTGTTTAATGTAGAACCACAATAAAAAACAATCTTACCCTTAATCGTGTAGTGGAGATCTCAGCTTTTAAAATATCAGGATCGTATTTAGTACTGGATGAAGAGCCTGAGAATACTTGAAAGAGTAAAGAAGAAAAAAGGATACTTATTTATAAGCTGTATCAATAGTTCTTGGCCTAGAACCTACTGTCTTTTAAAGCAAGATTTATGTTCTTCTGTGGATACTTATTTTCCTTTTATAAGTTCTTTATTGTCATTAAGACACCTAATATAAAAGTAATCTTCAAAGCTTTACGTTTTTTTTAAACTCGGGAAAAAAGAATGTCATATTAATTTTTTGGATTTTTACATCTCCTGTTTCTTAGAGAATTATGTTGCTTTGCAGCTTCTTAGAAACAGCATTTAAGTAGAACTTCTGAGCCCAACATAGTTGCTTCTTTAAATAAAAAAGGTATGACATGAGGGAGAAGTAAATCCACTGGGATGGGTGGGGTGGGACACAGAAACTTTGGTCTAATAGTTTTGGTTCCTTTCCACTAAAGATATTTTAGCAAAATATACATGTCCAAAGGACCAAATTGTTCTGAAAAAATTAAATTTACTCATAAGTGAATAAAAGGCAGCTGGGGGGAGACAACAGCAAAAACAGATGGCATGCACAATCCCAAATGTAGAGCCTTCTGTCTGGAATGGGGAGGAGGGGCTTTACTGAGGAATTTGTAGTTTGGTTTAGAGGAATTCCTCTTATGTAGGAAGAGAAAAGGCTCAAAATTAAACTCTACAGAATTGAAAGTGTCCTATTTTCTATAATCCTGTGCCCACTTCCAAAGACTGAACCTCCACACCATACTTACGGCTTGTGTGAGAACTTGACTTTTCTTTATAGGCATCATTTAATCGCACATATTCATCAAGGGCCAAAGCCAGTCTTTGCTCTTTCACGTGGTACAGCTCCTTCTGTGTTCTGAGTGCATCCTGAGCCACTGAGAGATAGTCCTTGAGCATTTTTTCCTGCTCCCCTCGCCATTGTTTTCTTGGATCTTCTATCTGTGTGGTTTCTGAAAATATATTAGGTGAGGTTTTTAAACCTTAATGATGTTTACGGGATTATTTAAGCCTGAGGGACTAGCTAGCTTAAATTCTTGTATCCTCTAAAGAATTAACATTGCTGGAGTAACTTTTCAAAAATTTAATCTAGTTTTTGTTTTATTTTACCCAGTCTCCACCTACTAGTCACTTCATTTTTGGGTCTTCATCAACAATGTATTCTAACTGTAAACCTACCATACAGATGTTGCCAATCAAATCATCCTTCGAAGAATTCCCTGGCTCCCCAATACTTACCAAATAAAAGTCAAGCTATTTTCCCCAGCACTCAGGACCAGTATACTCTGAACCAGACCTAGTTCCCATTGGAACTAGTGCTTCCGTCACTTAGTACAAGACTTTGCTCTATGGCCCCTATATCAGCACTGCTTCAGGTCTGGACCTCAGACCACCACAGGCCCAGGATCTTACTTTCACATCCACAACAATGAGTACAGAAAGTAAGAGTAAACATTTTGAAATGTTAATAGCAATTTTATTCAGCCATTGTTTATGTGGAATCTAATAATACTGGAGCTTGCATTTCTTTGTGTGTGTTTTTTTTTTCATTTTTCTATTAATGCATCTTTATTATAGTTTACCAACATATCAGTCAGTCCAAGACAGACTAGAAATCTGCAAATAAACACATTTAAAAAAAAGCAACCCTGCTTTTTGGTTTAAGGAGAAGGCTCTAGTCTATGCACTTTACACACAAGCTCACTTGTTGCCTCCTCCAGGAAGCCTCCCCAGCCCTTTGGCCTCAAGTCAGCCCCTCATCTGCTGTGCTCCCCAGCACATTCTGCTTGTTTTATAAACTTAAAACTCATTCTCCACCACGTGGTAAAGTTATAGCAGAAGCCACCAAGCACCAAGAAAAATAAAAAATGAAAACAAAAGTATACAGACTGCCCTAACAATTTTATTTTACATTTTATTTCATTTTAAACAGACAAATATACTTGTTTGAGACATTAGAGCAAGGAGCTGGGCATACTGCTGCCTGGCACTGGAGTACAATGTGGTTTACAAGGAATGGGCAGTGTGTGAATTCACAGGAAGGTAGTGCAGGTTGGGCAGTGGATGCCCTCCTGTCTCAGCCAGGTTATTAGAGCCCTCTACTGTCAGACAGGGTGGACGCCATGTCTCTGAAGAGGGAGGGTTGTAAACGAGGCTTCTTTCACTTGTCACAATCACATGGTTATTCACTTTACAACTATTTATTCAACTTACCTATTTCAATCTATACACTTTTCTGCATGTTGTATTCACTACCACAAATGTTTTAAAAATAAAAGTAAAACGAAAGAGCCAAAGCTATGGTGTTATGACTTAAGATTCTGTCTCTAGAATCATAGAATACTATGTCTGAGTGTCCCCAACAGCACCCTATACAAACAGTAGATAATGTGGGACAAATAGAAGGATGCCTTTAACACAGAAAATACATGAAGCTTGACACACAAAAGGTCTTTCAAAAATAGCACTGATGAGGGGGCTCTAAGGAGAAAACTGAACAAAATATATGAAATAATGATTTTCAGATATTGGACAACAGGTAATGCTGGATTGTAATCTCTGAAAAAAAGGCAAATGAATGCTAAAATTACCCCACATTTCTGCCTAAGAGTACTTTTTGAAAAACAGTATAAAAAAAAAGAGTAATCTTAGCACAGATTTCAGGAAGGCCATGATAGGTAGAATTTGTAGAACAAATATAGCAGAAGTTCCAGGGATTGGAGAAGTCCCAGAAATTTCCACAGGGGTTGAATTACATCTGTGGTGAATTCTAAGATGCACAGCACAGGGATTGCACGAGGCAGGCAAAGGACAGCTAGACTTCTCTAAGTAGAAATTCCCCACAGATCTATGCCAGGCTCAATTTACGACCAGCTGGAGGTGGGAGGTCACAGTGAACACTGGAGAATTCAGTGCTGGCCACTCGGGGTTGTACCTTAGTAATGCTGCTAAACATGACATACATTAAATGCTACTCTGAGTCTGACCTGTCAACACTTCCAAAGAAACTTCGAAAAATCAAGTGACTTAACTGCCCATTAGAAAGAAAAAATAAAGACCATACAAAAAAGAGAAAAAACTAACATCCAGGAATAATAACAAGAAAATTTATGTCTTCCATTTACTAGAAAGTTACATGTGACAAAAACATGACCCATAGACAGGAGAAAGACCAATCAACAGAAAGATATAGAAACGTAGAGATGGAAAAATTATAATCTAAGTAAAAACAGCTATTAGAGAACTGAGCAGTGTGCAGAAATAAACCCGCACATATACGATCAATTGTGCCAAATGTTTGATCAGATAGTTCACAAAGGAGTATATACCAAACCCAGGAAGCAGGTGAAAAGAGGCCCAACATCACTAGTCACCAGGGAGAAACACATTGAAACTATGAAGTGATAACCTCCACACACTATCTAAAATGGCTGAACCTCTAACACTAAGTGTTGGAGGGGACATGGAACAATTCGACCTTTCATTCATGTTTACTGGGAATGGCAAATAGTACAACTGCTTTGGAAAACAATCTAGCCATTACCAGACAGCACAGTAATTAAGCAAGTTCCTATTTACTCAAAAGATATGAAAATATGTATTCACAAAAAGACCTGTACACAAATGTTCACTAATAGCTTTATTCATAATAAACAAAACTTGTCCATTATAGCTAATACATGAAAGTTGATGTATCTATATAGTGAAATAAAAAGAAACAAAATACTAGCATATAACATGTATGAAATCCTAGGCAAAGGCAAGTCAAAGCCAACGACAGAAAAGTGATGAGTGTTGCCTGGGACGTCCCAGCAGTGCTGGGAAGTACCCAACCACAAAGTATGAATGCACTTTGTGAGGGGAAGGAAATGTTCTATCTCTGCATTATTGCATGCTTATGTGTTAAACTTCTATCCAGATTCATGAACTGTATACTGAAAATAGATGCTTTTTTTTTGGCAGCACTGGGGTTTGAACTCAGGGCCTCATGCTTGCTAGGCAGGCACTCTCACTGCTTTAGCTACTCTGCCAGCCCAAATAGATGCAATTTATTGTATATAAGTTATACCTTAAAACTTGGCCTAAAATGTGTTTTAAAATGTTCAGGTGAGTGACTATGACACTAAGGAGAACTGGGGTGCAATGGGAGCACTTGTACTTTATCTCAAGGAACATCCTTTACACTCTCAGCTGTTGAGGAAGAGCAGTGGTTTGGAGTAAGACCACGTGGGGCCTCCTCCTGTTGCTGTGAGATGACTTTGGGTGTTCTTTTACCCAGGTGAACTTTACGTCCTCAAATGTAAAAGGAGGATTATATTGGATGAGTTTTGTGTTTTCCTGACCTAATTTGTGTGAACGCTGTTGGCGACTGTCCAAATATCCTCAGTTTACCAGGTCTAGGCATCCATCCCCTAGATTTACCCACGTTCATTGTTAATACATGGCTCATCCTTAAAGGATTCCCGAAGACTGATCTTGGAGATGATGTACCTGCAGCCAATGCTGACCAGTGAAGGAGATACAGAAAAAAAACTTCCACAAAGAGCAAAGTCTGAGATGTAAATTATACCTCAGAGTCACCCCAGCCACATGGAACCTGGGACTTCACAAAAATAAAATCTGCATTTGTGATTTCCTCAACTATCCTTGTTTCCATGCTGGTTTATCCTGGGATTTTCTTCATAAATCACGTAAGTCTTGGCTTAGGCTCTATCTCTAGAAGAACCCAACTCAAAATGACCTTTGGTGATCTATACAAATTGAATGGAAGAAGTTTGATTCTGAGTGGTACTTTTCTTATCTTTGTGTGATGGTCTTAGTGATATTGGAGAGAGGGAAGAATTGGAGAGGGAGAATCCCTCTTGAAAACACAAAAAGGAAAATATACATATCATTCATAGAGAAATGCAACAGGAAGTTCTATCAATCATTTTCTAGGATTCCACTGGAGAACTGGTTAAATGAGCTATTGTTATTATAAAACAAAGAATCAATTAGATTAAGGGGTGGGCACTCCTGTAATCCCAGCTACTCAGGAGGTGAAGGATCATGGTTTGAGGTCAGCTGGGCAAAAATGTCAGGAGACCTTATTTCATAAACAAGCTGAGTATGGTAGCACATGCCTATAACCAGCTACTCTGGAATTGGAAGTAGGAGGATCTCAGTCCCAGCCATCCAGGGTAAAAAGCACTGGACCCTATCTGAATTAAAGAAAAAAAAAAAAAAACTAAAGCAAAAAGGAGTGGAGGAGTGGCTCAAGTAGTAGAGTACTTGCCTAGCAAGCAAGAGGCCCATGAGTTGAAACTCCAGTACTGTCCTCCTCAAATCAGTCAAATTAAGACATAGTTTAATTGCTTTGATAAAAATCATTTTTGTGGTCCATTAATAACAGGACTCTTAGATTTTCAGCTCTTGCTATAATATTATACCAGAAAATACCTCCATGGCCCATTCTGAGCTGCTTTTTTAGGGGTAAAGAGAGTGAACATTAGTAAGTCCAGGAGCCCTCTGGAAGGGAAAGGGACAGATAGGACTGGAATGTAAGAAGGAGAGTGTTTATTACTGGAAAGGGTTGAGGCAGGGGTGAGGTGTAAGAGAAAAAGGAAAACGATACAGTGACCATTTGGGTGGCAGGAAGGCTGAAGTTCCCTGCATTGTGAAAAACTCAGCAGGAAAAGGAGAGCTAATTCTTTTTCCCAACTGCTACCTGAATAACTTAATGGATCACACACTGAAAACATTGAGCCTGGGATCATATTGAAGTAAGGTAAAAGGCAAAATGAATTATTTGAGTTCTGAGAAGTTCTAAGAATATGAATACTCAGGGAGGTAGGGGGAGGAAGAACTGAGATATAATATACCACTAGCTAAGATCATAAGGTCTGTATTCAACTTAACTGGGTTCAAATCCAGGCTTTTCACTTATAACTTGCATGCCCTTGAGCACACAGTC